CAAAAAATACAGCTATACATGTTTCTCCTGACGCAAATCCAGTTATTGTCTATTATTCCATCACGACAATAACAATTACTATCAATGTGATTATGGTTACACATGTAAAATTAATAATATAAAGCAAAGTTAATTTAAGTATGGTATTAAGTACTATTGCTTAATCACATATCATTTGGAAGGGTATTTCAAAGCACTGAATTGTAAAATTTGAGTCTGGGTATTTACCCGTGGATTTACGAATGCACTGGCACATAAAATGAAAAATAAATAAAAAAGAAGAAATTTCAATGTTCAGAAATTATTCCTTTATCAAAATCTGAGAAAATGTCTCAGTAAAAAAATAATTTGATATTCGATACTTATATTAATCAATGTCAGATATACAAAATTCATTTATGTGATCTGCTTGGAATTTGATATCCAAAAATTGGTTTAAAAGTATTATTAATATATCAATTACCAATGAAATACAAGGGTCAGCCCTTTTCCAGTTGTGATATATGCGCCCTTTTCTCCTGGCCAGTAAGTAAATGTTCTTTTGGGGAGAAAAAATGTATTTATCACATATTTTAGTCAATAATATTGAGCAAATAGGCCTTTCAAATCCATAAATTGCCATTATCCTCCTCTTAAACCTCTTTCCGAAGGATACATGACCATACGAAGTTACTGTACATGATTATGCTTATTAGCCTCCCCGAAAGAGAGAATTTCCGGGGAGGCTTTGTTTTTGCCCATGTTCTTATTCATATTTTGTCGTTGTCGTCGTCGTTGTCGGTAGTAATTTTGTTGTACTGCGATAATTAATGTTTGGTAAGTCCAATACATTTAAACTCGGTAGATACAAGATACTAATAAGACACGAAGCCTATTGTTTTGGTAGGCCTGGTAGGTGTTTCAAACTTTGTAGAACGCAGGCAATGGCAATATGTAATTTTAGGACCCTAATAAGCGAGCAAAGCAAGCGTAAGTCTGAAAACGGGAGCGGGAAAACAGACGCTGGGGCCAGGGGGCTCGTTGGTCCGCGGTCGGGGCCCAAGGGGTGAAGGAACCTGGTGGAGGCCCAAAGGGATTCACCCCCTCGTGCTCAGAGCTTATGGCATTTATGAACTGTAAACTGCGTTGTCAGACAACATAGAATGGTCCATGACTGATGAAATATTTCAGACAGTTTTATGACAAAACCAACATAGATTATATAGGCTAACTTTCAGAACTGGTATGCACTCTGTGTAGGTGTAAATAAATACAGAGAATAATATTTAGTGAGAAACAAAACATATTTTAATAACGTATATACAATGCAAAGCAGATTGATCACAACATCATAAAAAAATGTCAAACGTCAGAACCCAGCTTTTATTGTTTAAAACCGTCTGGGCGCCATTAAAACTATGGTACTATAGTTTATATTATATTTTTCAAAAGCTAAAATGTTGGGGGCCACTCGTGCCTGGGGTCCTATTGTCTGGTACGTGTGCGAATATTCTAATTATTCATTTGCATAATTATTATTTTTCTAATCAGGAAATTTACACTTGTTACCACGATAACTAAAATTAAGGATTGGTAAGTAAAAGTAAGACCGACTGGTTTCACATTTTGCAGAATGTAAAAAGGTAATAAAGCAACGGAGCCTATTTTTATTTTGCTGGGTACGTGTGTGTGTAAGAAATCACACCTTGGGATGACTATGCTTTGACCAGCGTAAAAAGAATCTTTAGTTTATTTATACAATTAAACGAAAGTATTCACGATTTCAACTTCTTTTAATAGCACTGTAGGCCTAACCATTTATTCAAATTATGTATCTCCTTTTGTTTCCATAACTGTATTAGGAAAGTTTATAGGCCTATAATGCGATGGAGTTTAACTAGATCTCAATACGTATCCTACAGTATGTTCTCAAGATAAGGCAAATGTATTCTTTCTAGTATATAGTGGTCACAGTATGGCATAATGTATTTTTCACAGTAAAACATTCATTAGTATAGAATTAACAACATTTTTAAAGCCAACTTCTCAACATAAAAATCAGTCCTTAAATTTATATATAGGCATATATATGTATGTATATATGTATATACATATATTTATATATATACTTATACTTGAGATGTGTATAAGAGACAGGATCTGGAGATCGTGGGTTCGAGTCCCACCCGAGAACAACTTACGATTTTTTTTCGCAATTGTTTTCAAACATACTGAGTATTCAGTACATTTCCACGTCAGGTAGGGCAAAATTACACCTATAAATGATCAATCTTTTGTATTTTTAACAGACAGTGAAAATCATACGCATGACTTCAATGAGCATTTCATCGAGGCTTGGAGAAAAACACACAACTACCAAATTTGGAGAAGTAAGACTCACAGTGGTATAAATAGCCAGTTAGCAGGGTATGTAGTATTACAATCTCTTACATACATTAAATCTTGAATGTATTTATCTGTGGTATCACCATGTAGCTTGCTTGGAAATGTTTATAAGGTAT